GTCCAGGTGGGTTTGAACATCTCCAGAGATGGAGACTCCACACCCTTTCTGGGCAGCCTGTCCCAGGGCTCTGGCACCTTTAAAGTTGCCTTGTTATGTGTCATTCTTTCCTAAAGAAAAGCAAAATATTGCCAGATCCTACATATTTAAGAGCTCAAGTTTGGTACTGGGGGATAAATTAGTGGTACATTTTGATATGAAGTGGCCATTACACTAAAATAGAAGAACTTCCTTATTTTAACAGTAAGTAGTTTCAAGAACCAGATTTTCTTCTCAATTATGGTAAGATACTCAGGGAAAAGTTCTGTATAGTCAGTAGACTGACAGGTATAAAATTAGCATGTGGAAAGAAGCTCCCAGACTAGGTATTCTTCCCTTCACCTAAGGCTAGGGCCACAGCCTCTTGGTAGCTAGAGAAAGACCTGTAGTGATGTTTAGGGACATGGTTTAGTGGTGGGCTTGGCAGTGTTAGGTTTACAGTTGGACTTGATGATCCAGGTCTTTTCCAACCAAAATTATTCTATGACTCAAACCATGCAGTTTTGACCTGCCTGACCGATGTTCAACCCTCATTTCCACCAGTGACTATGTATGCAGGTTGGCCCTGAGCTGGACCACCAAGGACTATAGCTGGAGTGAACTGCAGGTGTTAGAATTCCTCTTCAAACTGAAATACCTGTAGGGCAGAGATGAGGTGAGGACTCCAGCTCTGCCTGCTCTCTGTGCTCTCCTCCTGGCTAAGGCAGCACTTTGGGAAGGAGCAGAGCACTATGCATATCTACTGATTTTGTACAAAGCCTGGTCTCCAGTTCAAGACTGAGACCTATCTTGGGAGCTACAGGCACAGAAAGCTTGGGGACAGTATGACCATAAGAGTTCACCGTGAGCTCCAGCTGAGTGCACACACCAAGGGGTTGAGGGACAATCCAGCTGGAGGCAAAACAATGGGACTGGGGCTGCAACTGGCACAGGGAACGGGGTCAGAGCAGTGAACAGGAAACCGGCTGCTGCTTAGCAAAATAAAAAGCAAACTGGCCTGAATGATGCTGCTCCATCCACAGGGGAGTAGGAGAGCAGAGAGGCTGGAGTCCAAAAAGACTTGGATTGGCTGGGGAACATCCTGAATGGGACAACCCTGTGCCTGCAGCACTATAAACACAGGAATGAAGCAGAAGGAAGGAAACTTTGAGGCTTCTTGGCTGCTTCCTGGGAGAAACGGTAACAACAGCAGGTGGCCAGGAGACCTTGGAAGGAGAGAAGCTGCATCCTACCTTCTCTCCTGACTGGCCCTCCAGAGGAATCCACCTCTCTGGGGGTCTCCTAGGAAAATGTGGACTCCCTTCCTCCTGAGCTGCCTCATCTACACCCTGGGGATATTGGCACAACCGTAAGTGTGGTTTAAAAATCTGGTGATTGATCGTTGTGATGCTGAGGGAGGGGCCAGGATAGCAGGGGGAGAGCATGGGACCCTGCAAGTCATCTCCTGGAAGGGATAGACATGGGGTGGTATGCAACATGCCACAAGCCTTGTTATGAACGGAGGATCCTCCTGAAGGTGGGAACCTCTCTCGTAGATATGGCTGCAATGCAGGAACTAGGTGAGGACTGGTGGTGGGAACAGGAAGAGTGAGGGACTGCAATCTGAGGCAGGCCCAAGAAAAAGGTGTAGGATAAAGTGAAGGGCAAATGAAGAGGGCTGCAAGGCTGGGGATGGTTCACCAGGAATCAGTCTTCTGCCAAGATGGTTGAGAAGCCATCTCAAAGCAAGAAGGGTGGATCCTTTTCTGTTGAGGGGCTGGACAATCACATTTTCCACGGGTATTGGGAACACTTAAGAATGGTTCCCTTTGCAGAAGTAGGAATGGACTCCACTGTACGTGTTCCTCTGCACTGCTGCAGCATCCTCCAAAGCCATGTACTGTCTTGTTTCCCTGCTGCAGGAGGTACCTGATCATCATTCCAGCTGCACTGCCCTACCCCTCTTTCCAGAGGGTGTGCTTGGATCTCCGTGGGGTGGAGAAGCCTATTCGTGTGGCCTTAACTCTTGTGCATCCATCTGGCAACCTCAGCCTCTACCGCAAGGTCGTCCGGAACAACTGGATCTTCGAGTGCTCCAAATTTCAGGTCAGGATCATTCTTGGCAGGCTGACAGCTCCCAGCATGCTCTTTTGGCTCATGACTTGTATCACCAGAGAAACAGAGAATGAAGATGGCAGGAGGACAGCAGCCATGGAGAGGAGTGAATGCAAAGTTAGGGAGATGTTCAGTGGTAACCTGGTATCTTTCTTCCTTGTCTTTGTTTGCACAATCCTGTTCCTGCTGGGTATCTCACAATCCACCCTGGTGGCACACCTAAGGAAGGCTGTCTGGCCAGGCACCAAAGGACTGAGGAGGATGGAGGCACTTGGAAGGACCCAAATGGCAGCTGTGCAGCTCATTCTCTCCTCTGAGAAATAAGCACTGTCACAGGGTGTCATTTGTGAATCGTGATGCAGAAATAGCCAAACCTTTCATCTCAGAGAGCTTCCAAGCTTCTCTCTAAGGGCTGGAAAATGTGCTGGAGGACTAGGAAAGACACAGGAGGGTGTGCACACAAGCTCAGCATAAGTCCTTCTGATCTGCCAAAGTCCTGAACCTTATTTTCTTGGTTTGCACTGATGAATAAGACTGGATTTCAGCCTCCGTGACCCACACACTCTAGGAAACAGCTTTCTCATTGACATAGATTCTTCCCTTAGGTTAGGTCTTCTCTGTCTTGCTCCATGCAGTCTTTAACAGTGGTCCTGTGAAGGGGCAAACACAATTTTTGTTCCAGAACAGGCTCCCTTTTCCTCTTTTCCAAGATTTGTCTCAAGAGCAAAGGCATTGTCCCCTGTGCTTCCATAGAGGCAGCTCTCAGCTACCCTGTGCTGGCCTTCAGGGTAAGATGGAGAAGAGGCTGGTCTTGCAGCGCAGCAGGAGTGAGGATAAAACCACTGCTCTGATGCCATCTTGTCCTCTGCCACTGCCTGCTAACCTGGTGGTTCCTCTTTTGTGTCCTAGGTCCCCAAACCTGCAGGCAGCCAGGAGGTGGGCACTGTCCACCTGCACATCTCCAATGGCCACTACTTCAATGCAAATGAAGAGAAGCAAGTCCTGATCCGAAGGGCTGGCACAGGCACCTTTATCCAGATGGATAAACCCATCTATAACCCAGGACAGACAGGTGAGCACTGCATGGAGCACCCCGACAATTCCCCTGCCTTGACCAGCCTGGACTTTGTTCCCAGTTTCCCATGAGAGGTGTGCCGAGTGCTTTGTGCCATGTAGCCTCCATGGGGATGGAGGGGGAAGCTGTCTGCTGCCTTCTGGAGTGATATATCCATGCACCATGTTTTAAGGGTGGGAAGGGACTGGAAGGGTTGGTCTGTAGGAGCAGAGCTGGCTCAGAAGAGGGAGCAGACCTGAATGTGGTCTTCTTGGCCAGGGCCAGGTATGACTGGTCTGCTCACACTGCAGATGAGGAAATGTAAGGGAAACTCCAGGTGTAGCCCATGGAAAAGACCCTAAATTGTGAAGCTGGCTGCTGTCACGTGTTTGAGGGGGAGGCAGTGAGCAGGGCTGAGCATGGGGCACTCCACACTCCTCTATAAGGTGCTCTCTCCATTTTCTCCCTTCAGTGAAATTCCGGATTGTGACATTGACCGAAGATTTTGCTCCCGTTAACAGCAAGGTAAAGCTCATCTAAGTGGAGGGGTGGGATCTCCAGGCAGTCCCAATGTCTGCAGCAACCATGGTGGCCAACGCCACCCCTCTGCAAAACTCAACAGGGACAGCAGTGTGCGTTTGCCAACTGCTGTGCTGTCACTTTCCCAGGATGGCTGGTGGCCAGTTGGCACTGCTGATGGTATTTGGGGAGCGTGCCACCATTCCCTTCTCACTGGGTTACTACAGGGCAGCTCAGGGGACTTCCTCCCTCCAAAAAAACAGGCAGGGCTTCTGGGGACATCCATGGTCTTTTGGCCATGGGCACAATTGCCAGACAAGTTGTGTATGGATTCAACCAGCCCCGAAGCTCCCCTCCCGCAGCTCTGGAAAGCTCAATGCTTTATGGAGTGTGTTGTATCTTAAGGGTGGCAAGAGGGTCTGGAGGAAGCTGTGATGCATCTGCAATAATTTTAAGAAAAAATAATTGATATGGGAAAGATATGCATGAAGTGATCATTAAAAAAGAAAAGAGAGAAAAGATTATAACTGAATTATACCGACTTGCTGCTGGCAGCAGCTCATTCTCCCCATGTCAAGGGAGTGAGAAGTTGCCAGAGACTTGCATATGTGATAGCCAGGAAACTGCAAGGCTCCCATCTTTCTCCAGTAAGCAATTATACCTGCAGCCAGCAGCCATAGCTGTTTCCCACTCCTCTGTCCTCAAGCAATTTAAGGAGAGCCAACAGAAATTCATGCCATGACAGATAAATACTGAAGGGCACGCGTGAGTAGAAAGTTGAATCAAATCCCTCTAGACTGAAATAAAGGGAGAGATCCTTCTGGCTTCTTTATTGCTGACTTCATTTCCTCTTTTTTGGAGTTATTGGTGAGGACCCAGGGTCACATACTCCTTTCTCCTCCTGACAGAGAAGTTCTCTCCCTTATATGAGTTGGATAATAAACAATACATTTACTTCCATGCTTACAACTGGTTCATGAAGATATTTGACCATCATGTTTGATATCTATGTGTGAGTGTAAGTAAATTAGGGTCATTGAAATAAGTTGCTCAGAGAGGTACTGGAGGCCCCATCCTTGGAGATATTCAAGGTCAGGCTTGGTGGAGTTCTGAGCAACCGGCTCTAGTAAAGATGTCCCTGCTCACTGCAGGGGGTTGTACTGAATAACCTTTGAGGATCCCTTCCAACCCAATACATTAGATGATTCTGTGATTCTAACTGTTAAAAATGCTGTGAGGAACCTTCAAAAGAGCTCAAGTTTAACCAAAACTATTATAAGGCTTGAGTGCCCTGCAGCGTTAAAGCTATAAAACAGAGTTTGTAAATTAAATAGGTTGGGGGTAACATGGGTGCCATTCACCAGCAGGTTTTGTTTTAGTGCTGACATTAGATTCATGTCATGAAAATAGTTAACCTGCACATTTTTTTGTTTGTTTGTTTCAGTGAAAACAGAGCTGCCTATGATAACTTGCAGGAAAGCTTAGAATGATGAATAATGCGATTTACATGTGGCTTTCTGGTTTACAGACCAGTTACTCTCCCATGCCCCTGCTCCTGCCTCCCTAAGCCTGGTGCTCCCAAACCACGTGTCCTTCACCACTACTGCCTCCTGGCCAAGAGCTGCAGTGATATGAGAACAAACAGAGGATTAGTAGGCCTAGAAGGGCTGAAGTATGTCCTTCTTTGTCCCTCCCTGTTACGGTCAGCTGCAGTCAGCAGTTATTCACATCTCCAAGCCTTGCATCCTAGGCTGGGGATTTTAAAGGAAAATGTGGTGTATTCTTCCTACAGGTGATGCAGTTTTGCTAATTCTTGGGATTTACGTTCCAAAACTGATGCTTTTTAAAATTCATTAACTTAGGATGATGGTATTTGTGAATCTCTACTTTTCTCCTTTTTTAAAAAAGTAAATTCTAGCTTTCACAGCTTCTATCAAAATGTATCTTAAAAATTCAGGGATCAAAAAACAAATCCAAAGAATAACACAAATTTTTATGTTACATTTTTTTTATTACTATTTCAAAACCATTCTCCTGGTGTTGGTAGGATCAAGCTACTTGTATGGTAATATTTGGGACCAGTGGTGTTGTCACAGCACATGGGCTAGGTGGGTAAGTGGAGCACTGGAACAGGCTCCCCAGGGAGGTGCTCATGGCACCAAGCCTGAAAAGATTCCAGAAGCATCTGGCCACCATGTGCCCTCAGACACATGGTCTGAATGTTGGGCTTGTCCTGTGCAGGGACAGGGGATGGACTCGATGATCCTTGTGGGTCCCTTCCAACTCACAACATTCTAGGACTCGATGATTCTGTAAGTTTACATGCAGGTTGCTATGTCATGCCAGTGTCTGACCTTGCTATCTCTTTGCTTTGCAGTACTCCGTGGTGGAAATCCAGGTGGGTGTTTCAGACTCCTCAGGTGTTATGAGGAAAGGTACTTCAGTATGGAGAATACCTAGGCTGCTGTCTTACTGAGTCAAGTTACTTTGCTTAGGGTCTGTGTATACACATGCACAGGCATATTCTGTCCATATGCTTCTTGTTAACAAGCATTGATGATCCAAATGGTTGAGCTTCCATCCATTTCTATGTTCAGGAACACCAGCCAGGCTTTAGCTAACTCTTACAGTTCATCTTTATGTAAGACTGGAGAGTCTAAGTATCAAGACCTTTCATACCTTCTTTTTCAGTGGCAATACACAGTGGAGTAACCCTGGGTGGGTTGGGTTCACCTCTTTTTGCTCCAGCACTCAAGTCACGTCAGCACCATCTGGGGAAAAAAACAGCAGGAACCTGTAAAAGGCTCCAAAATCTCTGAAACGCCTTTGAATCCAGCAGGCTCTGGGTAGAGAATAGCAGATGTTGCTGATGACTAACTCTTCTTTCCTTCCTTCGGATTGCAGGACCCAAACCAAAACTGTGTTGGCCAGTGGCTGGATGTGAGACCAAAACAGGGCATTGTAGATCTCTCCTTCCAGTTAGCCACCGAACTCTCCCTGGGGACTTACACCATCAGTGTGGTGAACCCAAAAGTGTCCAGTACCTTTAAGGTGGAGGAACGTGGTAAGATGGAGCACAGAGAACAAAGAACAGGATGGAAAATCTGCTTGTTTCTGTCTATATAACAATATATAGACAAACATTGTCAACTAAGATTTACTGTCTGAGAGCTGGGATTAAACACAAAGTTACAGAGTGGGCAATATCAGAAATGAACACAAGGGAGATTGTGCTGGGGACTCCTGGAGAAGGTATCTGCTTACAGCTAGGCTGGCACAGAGTGTCAATACCTCTGCAAGACTGTATCTTGGAGGAAAACAGGAAATTCTTTCTGTGGTTTTTCTATTTTTTAATTAATCCTTGCTTTTACCTCATGAACATGTTCCTTCATGGGACACCAGCCTTGTAGGTACACACCTTTCTCTTTTGTGATCCCATGTGTTGCCTTTGATGGAGTAACTCTGTGGTTTTTGTTCCAGTGTTGCAGAAGTTCGACGTTTTCTTTGAGGGACCAGCTCAGATTTATGCTTCAGATAAAACTTTCCCACTGCGTGTATGTGGCAGGTAAGGAGGATGTTCAGGGGAAAGGAAAGAGCTCATCAAAACTGTGTCTTTCCTTCTGGATGTCTCCTATCTCTTGAATCCATCAAGGAGAAGTGGCTCAAGAAGAGCTAAACACAGTCTTTCCTTTTGAAGAATCCCAAATAGTGCAAGAGTCGAACTGATGGGTTCTTCCTTGGGGAAGAGGTACACAAGTCACATTTGGGAGACACCATCCGGCTGTAGGGAGACTTGTCCCAGGCAAGCGATATCCTGCTCTGGAAGCTGTGTGTGTCCAGCCTTGAAAGACTTTATGTGGGGAAAAACCCATATCTGATATGGCACTGATCTGCTGAGGTAAAGGAACAGGAATTGGTGCTTCTTTAGAAAGTTATGCTGTTCCTTCTCACTTACATGCTGCTGAACTTACCACCTTCTTATAAGCAGCATGTGGGTTTCTCTAGTTGTGTAGTCATTAGCAAAAGCTGAGCAGATGAGGGTGTGAAGGAAGGCATATCCTCAGATGGAGTAAGAAAAAAGGAGGAAGGAGAATGATCTAGGAAGCACTTTGTAAACTGATAAAAAAGGGTGAGCCCATTTGTATTTGAGGCTGGGTTGTCTGGACACTTTTGGTGTCTCTTTGCTGCTGGTCTTGACAATTTCTCATTCATTGGGACATTGACAATTATACTATATGAAGCTCTAGTAGAAAACAGTACAGCACTCTGGACCTTCAGGATGGGTCATAGATGTCTTTTCGTTACTGATACTATGAGGATCGTTGCTCCCAAGGGAAAGCCAGAGAGGAGTCAAAGT